GATTCCTAAAATGGCTATCTTATCTTGCGTTGTAGGGAAATTGTAGAGTCAATTCACACAGCTACCCATATTTTCTTTGCGTTTACACAAATACCTTAGGTGAGCCCTGACTACAGTGCATGAAATTATATGAGAACCGCCATCTTTGGTTTGAGATTTTAGGAACCCTTGAGTTTGCTGATCAAATCTTGTTGAATTTTCGCAAGATGATGACTGGACTGATCACTGAGTTGAATACATTAATTTTCCACTTCGGATTCAGCTATCTGATGTTTTCGACCCTTATTCGTCCGAACACCGTTTACACAACCCTAGCACAATGAACCTGGTTAGTCCATACCGTGGTGTTTCCCATCGACATGCGTTTAATGAAACAGAGCATGAAGTACTCGAGCCCATTATTGTGGCTTGCACCATCATAATAACCATCGCTCAATACTTTGACACCGAGTTTGCCAACAGCGATCCTTATACTATACAGGACTGTCGTATTTGGAGATGCTTAAAACAGCAGCTGAGTCAAATGTTAATGGAACTTTATTAAAAACAGGTATCGCGAAACATAACTCATCCAAGTTATCACTTCAGAGTTCATTGCACAACATCCCCAGTAACTCTGTCCTTTGCTCAAAGACACACCAAATACAGCAATCCTCTGTTTTCAAGTTCACTGAGTTAAAATGTGAATCAAATCAGTTTAGGAGATATTTCAGAAGTACGCGGGGTTCAAATACTGGTCATCAAAGAGAACGAACGGGTGCACAAGTGCGAAAAGAATCGAGACAGCCTAGTCGCACTTGGGAAATTGTCACATCGTTTGACTTCCAATACACACATGCCTACTTTCGACGCCCATCTGATCATAAGGACAGTAAGACTTATTAAATACGGCAAAAAGCCGCATCCTTTCGAAACAAGTTTATTTAACTATTTTGATTTTAAGCAAGTTAGAGCAATAGCTGGATTTAAGAACCCGGCTTATCCTGTCTCTCATGGGAAGACACGATTTTGTCTCCACAATTAGTTTCTGCCGGTCGTGGTCAACTCTCCCTCTTTACATTTTTCGACGCTCGAATAATTAACAATATAAACATTCAGGTGTATGTCTATCACTCCAGGAGAGAAGATTACAAGGGAGAAAGTTCACCCCCTGGGCAGACTGAACATAGCTGACCACCTCGGAGAGGTGGACTTGGTAGTTGGAATGATTACGCCCCGAATAGGTGATGTCTATTTTAGGGGTCGCTTGAAGTATATTTTAGTATAGCTACTCCACAAACATAGAGAGTAGCCATGTCCTCAGGACAGTCTCTTCTTCAGTGACTGGCAGAAATCACTTCTGGAACATTTTCCCACCTGAGAGTATTGTCTCTATGGCAGAAAAGCTTCTATGAGCTCCTTTCCAGACCAGAATGCCTTCTGTTGGTCCCTTTAAATGACTTACAAATGAGTCCTTAGTGAACGAATCACTAGTGGCATCTTCCCAGTGGTGAAGCCTTCTGAATGTTACTTAAACAGATTACATATGCGTCATCAGTAGACGTTTCACTGATAAACTGATAAACTGTTTGGAATATTCACTACATTTCGGGGGTATTTGTGAGCACTTCTAGCTCATCATAATTATCAACTTCATTTGTATCATCTGTAGCACGGCTTTAGAGACCTTAATAGGATTGCAAGCAAGAACCTGGATTAGTTTCATCTGTTGTTTTGTCTGGTAGGTTATCCTACTTAGGGTGGTTAGGATTGCTCTGGATCAGCACTTGACCTATCGTGAAACTGACAACAATGGAAACATGGACGGGTGACACTGATTCTTGTGCGAACCGATGTCCATGAATAACTGGTGTGCAAATTACTCTAGTATACTTGGATGATGAAATCATACCTTACCAGGATTACTACATCCAAACAATTCTGGAACTACGGTATTCAAGGTCAGTATCTAAATGCATCTGCGTTTGTTACAATTTCAATGCAATGAACATCAAATCTCACCTGCAAATTTTATTCTCCCAATTGTTTAGTATATGAATCTTTCACTCAGAATCCACTTGCGACCAGACAGGACCATACCACTCCGGGTACTTCAACTGTCTCCCGAATATAACTTGAATTACCGAGCTCTGCCTAATACATTGTTTTCGTCAGTTTTACACTCTTTGTTTGGTTATGCAGATAGCTGTAATCATTTCGATCGATGTTCCTCATTGCCAAATTTAACTGTGTGCTATGATTCGCATGCAATCACCTAGGAAAGTGAACGGATGAGAAGAGTACGCCCCAGGTAACGCAAGGCCTGTTGTGCTCTGCTTTATAGCAACTCAATTTTTGACCACGTGATAGAGAAATGCAATATTCAGTGTACAACAAGTCACGTCTTTGTTAAGATTCATTGCTGTACTATGTTTAGCTATGTCATGTGCGGGTCTGGTGATTTCGATTGCCTGAAGGGAATTTCCTATGACAATGACGTAGAGGTTTTTTTGCTACACGTTGACGTAGTACGTTAATGAACGATCTGGGATTTGATAAAACTGAATACCTTTTTTGGGAATCCAGTCGAAGTACCACTAGTTGTAAAACTTCTGAATGTCTGATTTTTAGCCTATATGATAGTAGTCCGCCAAATCACCAGAATTCCCCTCAGTCGAAGTCTACCTGAAATAATCCACCACAAATTTCTATTTAAGCTTACATGAATGGGTTAGTGTTATGGATGGATTTGTAGCAAATTCGTAGATATCCCCAAGTTTAGCTGAATAAAGTCACTGGGATATCCTGCATGCCACTCCTGCGCCCATAAATCTCTGGCCATTGGAATGTTGATTACAAATAATTTACCTAGCTACTAGCCACGCTGGTGGTTCACTCAAAGTCCAGTATGTTGAAAATGACGGCGAAAGAACTTTATCACGTAGTACATTGCTTTCCAGGCAAAAGACACATTTATATGGGTTGTGTCTATCCTTCCATTTTAATACTGGCTCAACAATGATGGACTTCTATCCACGCACTAGATGACCTTCCTCCAATGAACATTTGGAAATTTGGTACATTGGATCTGCTGGTATACTCATTATTCGCGGACGTAGTTCATCTGGCTCCCGAGGAGACTGTCCATCGAGATTCCACGGGAGTTTCTCGATTTCGAGTGGGCCAAATTAAACGTCACCGTCTCCCTGATTTATGAGTGTTTGTGCGTGACGAATACAGAGGTATTCTAGTCAGAGTTCTCCTCATCCAACAGATATGAGTTGTGAAAGAATATATCTCCATACTTTATTTCTTTTCTTCAGTTAGGCAAGCAAACGTTTTGGGGAAGCCACACATTCCTTAGTTGATGTTGGTTCATAGTTTTTTCCGCTAGCTTGCACAGATTTTTGCCTTGTATTTGCCAACGTCTTAAGATTATGTCTTGGCTTGAATCTGTTCCATATTTTCTTCGTTCTTAAAAACGCAGTTATATTCTGTCAATAACGAGTTTTGTCGAGGTTATCGACTTCTGTACATTCGGGCTAACTGAGTGCACAGTTCTTGAACCTGCCCTTAAATATCACCTTTTATCGCTTTGGCGTTGAAATCAGTAGTGACAGGCCGGTGTGGCCTCTCGGCAGCCTCTTTTATTGCTAGTAGGTCAAAATGCCTGACATCCCCAAGTGGACAGAAAGGCTTACTGATTTACATAGGAAGTGCAGAAGAACGTCCTCACTATGTTCTAGAAGCTAGAAACCAACTTTTATAGGTGCTAATATTAGGTACAGGATGTTGCAAACGTGCTCAGGCCATGTGATGATTACCGATGAAATGCATGGATCCAGGCTATGGATTGCAGTTTCCAGCAATCTGAATTTGAAGAAGTTATCCAATACCGAAGTATAAGGTTGATTCTGGTCAATTTTTGGAGAGGTAGCTTCTTTATCCACCAGCAGTATTTATACCGGGTCATTCTCTAGATATGACTTAATATTGCTGTTCCTGGTGGCTCCTGTACATAAAATCAATCATCGATGCAACCCCTTTAGGTTCCACACGATGGCTAGTCACTTCTTGAGCTTCTTAAAGACTTCAGAATTAGTTTGAAAGCTGAGCAACAAATTTAAATCTCACCACCTTCAGGTATCTCGTCATTTCTCTAAGCGTAATATGCCATATATCCAGGGATTGATGGGTCGCATTCATGAATGTCAGCTGATGGCCAGAATTCAGCTAGTACAACAAGGTCAAGGTCAGCCATTTTACCAATTTGAGTTTGCTACGTATACTGTATAGATGATGGCTAAAATATTTAAGTTATTCACTGGCTTAGCCCACAGTAGTAACACTAGTTGATTTCATCTCATACAGAATATCCTTTGAACTGTAGATCTGTTTCCGTGGACAGGCTTCCGTGATTTCCACCCCGCAACCGCACAACTTATTTTCTGGCGGTCCGCAGTGCTCAGAGCCCGAACAATCACTCTGCGCTCTCTACACATACGAGAAAGCATTCTCCTGAATCATCCACAGATTCGAGAACCAATGTCAATAAGTGCAAGTTTTTTGCTAGGTTGGTGGTTTTTCTAGCAAGAAGAAACACTACAGATGAAACTGGGCCCAGTTTTGTTGAAATGTAACGGTTTATGCTTGCACCCCTGGAGGAAATCAGTATCTGTTTGCGTTCGAAACTTGAGTTCTGTTTTCGCTGATTAAGGAAACTACATAAAACCCTGTCTATGTGGCTGAATGAAATTGGCTGGTTTAGACGCATTAAATCACTTTGAACAG